TTCCATCATCTCCCGGACCAGCTCTTTCTTCTCTTGCTCGGCCTTTTCCGAGAGCTCCTGAGTAAGACTCTTCTCCTGGGTCACCAGGCGTTCCTTTACGTTGGCCAAGGATTTCTCCAAGGCTTCGTATGAGGACATCTTGTGGAGAAGAGGTCTCAGCTCGGCCTTGAGGTTGTTGATGGTCGCCTCCAGCTCGCCATTCCTCTTCTGGGCCGCCTCTAACTGAGCTCGGATAGCGGCGGTAGCCTGCGCCTGATAATAAAGAATATCAATGGTCAAAACTTCATTTTGGGCAATTTGAAACATTGCCTTATCACAGTTAGAGGCGGCCATAGCTTTTGCAGCCTTTACCTCTTTGTTCTTCCGGTCAAGCGGCTTGCGAAGGCCGTTCACTCGGAGCAGGGCCTAAGTAAAAAGGGGAACAGGCGTCAGTTTCCAAACAAAAGGCGTCCTGGAATTCAAATACTCAAAAATATGCTAAGTATACCTCAGCAAGGACCCCTGCAATCCCGTCTAGGTCAAGGGTGCCGACACCCCTGACCGCCTCCCTTTCAGCTGGAGGAACGGCCTTGATCATAGACTTGGCCACCTCGACCAAGTCAGGCTCCTGAGGGCCGGCTGCATCAAGCATAAACAAACGGATTAGACCTAGTAAAAAAGGGAGCAAGTCTAAAATTTACAAGGACAACTTCATACTTCTAGGCGGCCCAGATGGAGTTTTAGAAGAAGTGGCCGGCTGTTTCTCAGCCGCCACATGTTTCCTGGCAGAACCAGGAGAGCTCGCAACAGTCGTCCTCCGGGCCTTGGGGTCCGGCTGTTGGGAAGAAGAAGCTCTTGGAGCACCCGTCTAAAAAAGAAGAAAAAAGTCAGTATATGCATAAACACAACTCCAAAAAGAGGGTGAAAGGTTCGAAGCCCACCAAGGGTGCCCCCTTGTTGGGGGAGTCGGTTGAAGCTTGTTGCATGATGGAGGCCCGCAACATGGCAGCCGCAGTCTTGGAGGCGGTAATTTTGCTCATAGCGTCCGCTGCAAAAACAAACAGCAAAGTTAATAAAAGTTATAACAAAATGCACGGAACAGCAGAGTATTCGACAGGCCGACTACCTCTTGAGCACCGACTGCTGAGGCCACAGGCGGCCAAAAAGTACACGTCGTAGAGCCATTTGAAGCTCGGGACGCAGTGCAGGGGTACTTGCTCTCGTACCCCTGAAGTAGAGTTCACCTTCGACTCTACTTTAAAGAGTCCTTTATCTAGGATCTCTTTCTTAGCCTTGGGGGGAACAGGCGGCATGCTACGGCCGCCTGCAAGAAGGGGCGGATTCCTGTTCCACCTGTTGAAGCGCTTGTTCAGCTCTGTGTCTGAACTCTCAATGATGAAGAAGGTGCACCGCCAGTCCTTCCATTTGTTTGCTTTACCTCTCGTCATGAGGTAGCCCCTGTGGCTCGTCAATTGATACCAGCCGGTACCGCCTGCCTTAGGGGTCCGGCTGAGGTAGTTCATGTGGGCGAAAGCCTCGAAGCTCGGCTCCACCCCGTGCAGTTCGCACCCGGCCACATAGCCGAGTACGTTGACCCAGGAGTTCGGGGCTAACTGCCATAACCCCAACTCATACCCATCCAAGATCCGCTGAACAACCGGATGTAATGGGAAGCGCAGCCCAGCCTTGATGGCCGCCTCGTAGCAGCCAAAGCAGGCGCTATCATAACTGGTACCAGCCGGCCAGACGACTGTGTCTTCTGGATCCGACACAAACACTAAAAAGCCGGGGCCCATTGTGTGGTTTGCGATAAAGCTCTCCACTTTCTCTTGCATGGCCGTGATCCGGCCCCGAGGTACCGTGCAGTAGTAGGGGGTATTTTGCTCTCGGTAAGAGGCGGATGGCTCCGCCCAATTGTCCCCCTTCTCAACTGCGTGAGAAAGCCTCGCCTCTTGCAGGCGACTGTTTTTCACTTCTGTGTCCAGAGAAGCATGGCCAGAAGAGCTAGACTCGAAATCGTCCACTGACGAGTCCGAAGAGGACGACTCCTCCCCTCTCCCGGAGGGGCCCGCCTCCTCTCCTTTAAAAGGAGCAGGAGAGAATGAAGAATTGTCAACTGTGAAATGGGAAGGGGTCACTTTGATTCCTCCCTCAGAACAGCCGGCTTTCAAGCCGCTTTGTTTCACTTCCACATCTGGCGCCTGGTCAGATGTTTCACTAATCGGCACCTTGTGGGAGGAGCCGTCTGAATTTGAGATCCTAGCAGTCTTTTTTGTTCTGGCCATCATGCTCTGCATAGACACAGATACAGTCGGACTTTGTATAAAGGGCAAAGATGGGTCCGGAAAAGGGCAGGCGACACTCCTAGTCCTAGATTCAGCCGTCCCCGGTGACCGGCTGATCACTAACCTAGGTCGTGTCGTGTGCTTCCGTGGTGCCATTTCAAAAAAGAATAAAAAGAAAATTAAGAGTAAGAGAACCGACAGTTACCTGAACGAGTGACGATTGATGAAGTGCTGAAAATCCTGTGCAGTCGGCTTGTCAGAACAGGCGGTAGGCAGAAAGGGTCCAAAATGTCAGAGCAAGTTCAGGGTTCCGAATGTTCTCTCACAAAGTTCTCAAGTGTGAAAATGACTGAAGTCAACACTCCTTTATATAGGCGAAGTGAGAAGGCGAAGGGTCACTTCCAGAATTCAAAATTTGGGCGGGAGAATCTCTCGGCCTTTCGCCGAGTGACACCTGTAGCAGGCCGTCGCCTGTTACAGTGCGGCACCTGTCACAGGTAACACGTGACCAGTCACGTGCCACCTGTGAGGGGCAAATGATTAGGGGATTTTGCTCCCACCAATCGGAATGCGCCACGTGGGCCAATCAGGTCCTGCCAAGTGTCCCCCAGTTGGAACTGTCAGGGCTTGCCACGTGGCACACGCTTATTCGTCCACCTTGGACCTATTATGTCATGACACGTGGCATACTCCATGCCTAATGGAGAAACCGGCCACCCAGGCCCAACTTCCGAGGGAAGCCCAATCAGCCCTGGGTTAACCTAAACCTAGGATTGGCACGTTTCCCAAGGTTATAAATACCTCCCTTAATCCTCATTAAGGGGGGATTACGGAGATAACAGGCTGATCACGCTAACAAAACAGATTACCTACATTAAACACTCTCACCTAGAGAGACCCAATCACTTTAATTTCCGCATTAATTACTCCTTAATCAAGTACTAACTTGACCGTTGGAGGCGGAGCTCCCACCAGCAGGAGTCTCCGTTGTTTTGCAGGTACAGGCGTCCGGTTCCAGTCTCGGAATTGTAACTCTCCCGCAGGACATCTGAAAACCCCGAAACAGTTGTGATTGATGAGAAACGGGGAGATACGACCCCTATTTATAGAGAAATAGTCCGAAAACGATAGAAAAGAGTTCGAGTCCCATTCGGAATAAAAGACCTCCTGTCGCCAACGACAGGGGTTAGCGCCAAACGACAGGAGCAGCGCCAGGCGACAGTTGTTAGCGCCAAGCGACAGACCTGTCGTTTGGCGTTGGGACAGTTTTTTTTGCGGATTTTGTTTTTATCATATCTTTTGATCTAGAATTCCAAATAAGTCATATAGTGTGTCGTTGGAAATCTCTTGAAGTCTAATTTCTAATCCAATTAGAATCAGATTAAAATATTTTGTAGATAAAAAGTTATGGCCGAAATAGTGGAAGGGTGTCAGTTTTGGATAGAGTTTTGTATTCCTTTCATATCTTTTTCATTATAACTTGGAATTAATGACTGTCTTTGAACATCTTTAATTTCGAATAGAATTAGGACTTAAAAAAAAGGAAAGTTTTATTCAATTTCAAACTCTTATAAGCTTCTAATTAAATCCTAAATCGAATAGAATCAGGACTTTTAGAAGCTTCTAGTTAAATCCTAATTAGTTTAGGAATAGGATTAAACCTTTGGACCCTCCACATAATCATTGGGCCGTAGGTAAAATCCGGTTTGGGTCCAGTTTAGTATTTTGGCAATAACTTCCTCATTATTCATCGGAGTTGGGCTTATAATATATCGTTAGAAAGGTCTTTTTAAGCCCCATCCAATTACACCATTATTGGACCCTTATCATGGACCAAACTAAATTGGAATGACTATTTTTCATAAACAAGGTACGAAAAGGAATATTTTCAAAAACAGAAAGAGAGATATTTTTATTAAAAACAACTACATCACTAGACTTTTCACACTTTCGTTTCGTTCGATTATCAATGACATGAAAGGTATTCATCACTAGGTTTGGTTTTGGGAAGACACATTTGTGTGTCTACAAGTAGGTAACGAAGGGATATAGGTGAGTGGATGAAATAATGGATGAATGCGGATAAAGTTCCACTCGATCTGAATCTGCATCCGATAAATTGTTAACATTAATGTTCGAACCCATGACCTCATGCTCATTATAATTTAACTTTAATCAATACTTTAATAACGCATCTTATGTCTACAATGTTTTGTTAAAAAACTTAACCATCTTCATAAACTTGAAGATTTAATAACAAAAAGTAATCTAATTTCCTTTTTTTTTGCTCATACCTATTCATCTATAGCTAATTTTTATATATGTATTCCAAAATATGTATCGATGTTCAATGGTGATTGAAAAATATATTTTAAATAATAAGAATGCTACAATATATGTAACTAATTTCGTCTATATTTATATTTTATCTCACAATTTTTATTACTATGCATAAAAGCTCATTTTCAATATATTTTATACAATGACCCGGGCCCGGGCCAAAAACTAAGCTAGTTACGTTATATAACTTAATACTTATAAATTTCACATAATTCAATGTACTTGGCTATTCTTCCATCAGGTTAGGAGAAATTAAAAAAATTTCTTAATCGTTTATGAAAGCTATTAACTTTCTTCATGCGTTGTGAAGTGTAATCTTGTTTAAGAAATTTAGACCAAGAGCTAAGGAGTATCTACTTTGAAATCGTCAAGCTGTAACACACATATGGAGCTCTCTGCATAGATCAAGATCCTAACAGCATTATTATTCAGAGTAATGGCAAATTCTATGAAATCCAAAGATGGGAAAGAATTTATTCTTACAATACTAGCGTTTAAACATTATGCAGCCATATGCATTGGTTTTTATTTTTATGATGCAACATAGAGCTAGTGCAGAATCCCAAGTAAACATAGTAATAATAGACCCGGGCTAGTGCAATATATGCATTTTTGCTTCAAGTCTCCTTCAAAGCTTCGGCGACCCGGGCTTGGGGTGATGGATGACAATGTGGTTATAAGCATCAAGAGTCAGAAAATCATCCAGCTCTGTAGCAGTACACTGGTTGGTAAAAAGGGTGCAGGCTTCCTTGTAATTATCAGTCTGAAACTTCTCACTTCCAACCTCTTTCTGAATTCTCTCCATTTCTTCCTCAACAACGCGAGCAAAGAGTTCCGGAGTGACCTTAACTCCAAGCCCATCTCCGTCTAATTCAACCCTGTACTTGAGCCATTGCCAGTTCTGAGCCCTGCTGATCTCTGCAGTAGCAGCATCCTCCATCAAGTTGTACAGGGGGACTGCACCTGATCCTGAAAGCCAGGCTGCTAAGTACTGAATTCCAACTCTTGTGTTGAGTCGGAGCCCTTCCATGGTACGAACTCCTTCAGGTAGCTTCAACAGGTCCTCCTCTGATATGGCAGAAGCTTCTGGCCGGGGTGCAGACTGGATTTGGTTCGGAGCATTGCCCATGTTGGGGTTGAAGGCTTCTAAGATTGGTGGGATTAGGCCTGGATGTGCAGCCCAAGTACCATCATGTCCTGCTTTTACTTCTCTCAGTTTGTCTAACTTTACTAGCTCCATAGCCCTCTCGTTTGCCTGTGGATTGTCCCTTATAGGAATCTGGGCCGCCTGTTCATTAGAAATATGCATTTGTTATCAGATTGAATGTACAAGTTGTGAAGAGAATTGAACACTCATTGTGATCAGACAATGTTACAATAACTTACTGTTATTGTGTTATACCAAGGTGATCTTTTAATTTTAAGGGTAACTGTTGAGTCTCAAGTTATGTTAGTGTAAAACTGTTCAGCCCAAAAGTTATGTATTTCAAAACATAGTAAAACAGAAGTGCCAATGATAGAAGTATAGAGTAGTTATAACCGTTCCAGTAAATGTAGATTAGTCATATTTCAGACAGGTGAAAAGAGTACATACCATGCCACCCATAGCATGGACACCGCGCTTGTGGCAAGTGTAGATGAGAAGATCAGAATAACTTCTCATGAAGTGTTGGGACATCCCAACCTGAACACGGTCAGGGACAAGGCGGTCAGGGTGAGATTGGAAAGTCTTGATATAGCTGAAGATGTAATCCCACCTCCCACAGTTGAGCCCTACAGAGTGGTCTCTCAGCTCATACAGTATCTCATTCATTTGGAATACTGCAGGAAGCGTCTCTATGAGCACCGTCGCCCTAATACTTCCTTTCTCTATTCCTACTATCTTCTCTGCTTTCTCAAACACACTGTTCCAGATCTTTGCTTCCCTTTGTAATTGAACAAAGTAGTCAACAACCGAAAACATTGTAAAAGCATAGACTAGGGAAAATGTTGCCGGGAAATGTCTTATATTTGACTAACAATAGGAGTAAGACATCTAAAAAACATTACACTAGTATAGATCAACAGAATGTAGCAGCAAGTATGTTTTATAACCTAGCAAATCGAGCATGGCTCGGGCACTTTCTAGCATCTTAGCCTATCTAGTGAACTAATATTAGGAGAACCACATTAAAATAAATTGTACAAGCATTGCTGCAAAGACTAGCAAAGTATCAAAATGATTTGTCATATACTATTAAACATAATTATTTACCTGGAGTGTTCCATCTTTGGGAGATAGAAGAAGGGGCCAAAGCCATCACCCTGTACCTGGCGGAACTTAGCAAAGTTGTGGTAGAAGTAGAGGCCAAAGTCGACTAGACAGCCAGTAGCAGGCTCGCCGTCAATCAGAATATGAGCTTCAGGGAGGTGCCAACCGCGTGGGCGGACAAAGAGCTTAGCAATTTGGTCATTTAATTTATAGGTCTTATTCCTAGCTTTGTCATTGAAACTAATTGTCCCATTCACAGCATCTCTTAAGTTCACCTGTCCTTTCATCAAGTTCTCCCAGCTTGGTGATAATGCATCTTCAAAATCAGCCTGTATTTATTATAAAGTCAATAATTAACATCACCATATAATATAATTATCTTATTTATTCAGAGAATAATTAAAAGTGATACTGTTATCCAAAGACAAGCAAACTAGTTAAGGATGTAAATCATCTACAATAAATATTTACATATACTGTTATCTCAAAGTGGTTTTGCTGTTTGAAGGATTTAGAAATGAGACAGCAGAATGATACTGAATATTCTGTGTGCACCACAATTATAGACACAGAACTATAGTCTCAGACTATTGTAAATTAAATCGATCTGACTCATACCCAATTACCCAAATTAAAATAACTGCTCAAATTTATGACTAAAATCACAATAGGCCAACAAAATTATTGATGATTGATTTAGCCAAATCAATTGATTAACTACAGTAATCATCACTCTCATAAATCAATTTCATCTTAGTTAAGCTACAAGTAAATTACCTGTACTTTAACTTAAATTAACATTTCTTATTAAAAAATAGAGATTCGATCTTACATATGACACAACAGTCCAATAACAGGGGGTCCAAGTCGTGCAAATATGATTGTGTAGTCACTACGAAAATTAAAGTTGTTTAGTACGGAGTATAAGATACTGCAAATTGCAAAATCTTCCATAATTTTTCGAAATAAATGAGGAATGAAAGATAAGATTAAGACAATAACTATTGTATAAACATTGTAATACCATATAAATTATCAGTTAAAACAATGATCGGATAAAATGCATACCATAAAAACTTTAGCACCAGAATTAAGAGCATTAATGACCATCTTTCTCTCAGTCGGACCCGTAATCTCAACCCTCCGATCAGCAACCGCAGGAGGTGGTGCAGCACACACCCAATCACCTTCCCTGATCATCCTAGTCGTAGGATCGAACCCCGGTAACGCCCCGCTATTATACTTAGCCTTAGCCTCCTTCCTACACTCCATAGCATACTTAATATGGCTCCTAAACTCCCTTTGTAACACAGCAACAAATTGCAAGGCATCCTTAGACAGGATTTTCGCAAACTCGTTGTCGTACCTTCCTCTTACGTCTACCCCTTCAGGTACCTCGTACGCGTCAGCGTCCGATCGCCTGGTAGCCGGATAATGATGCGTTGTTCCCAAATCCATGCTTTTTTCTTGGTAAGTTTCTAACACCTTCAAAACTTTTTTTTTTTTTTTTTAAATGTATTATGGTAACGTTTCATTATTTATGGGAAGTGAGTTAGTGACAGTGGCATTTTGTGCGTAGGATAGGTTGGATGATTAGAATGTGACGCAAAATGGTGGATAGATTAAAAGATATGTGCAATATTGCCAATTTTGAATTTCGTGCTTTGTAGCAATTGCCTTGGTTAGAGCAATTTCTGTTACCAGCATGGAATTCCAAGGTATAAGTTTGTTTTGTATAAGTTTGTTTTGTAGTTTGGTTAGTGCTGTCAAATTTGAAACCGAAACCGTTTAACTGCCCGAAACCAACCGACCCAAATGAGAACCGAACTGATTAAAAACCGATTTTTTGAAACCGAAAACCGACCCGAACTGTATGTGAATGAACTCGAAACCGAACCGATCCGAATAACTTTACACCGTATAAGAACCGAACCCGTTAATGAACCGAACCAATTCTAAACCGAACTGAAATCAAACCGAACCGATAAAGAACCGAACTGTTTCTAACCTGAAACCGCTTTCAACCTGAAACCGTTTAAACCGGGATAAAAACTTTTTACACCGAACCTGTTTGCCAAATTATTATCAAAGTATAAAATATCTTCCTGCCACTAAAAATCCTCCTGCCATAAACTGAACCGAAAAAGAACCGAACCAGTTATAAACTGAACCGAAAAAGAATCGAACCAATTATAAACATAACCGAAAAAGAACCGAACTAGTTGTAAACTGAACCGTAAAAGAACCGAACTGTGTCTAACCCGAAACTTTTTCCAAACCAAAACTGTTTGAATCGGGATAAAAACCGTTTACACCGAACTGTTAACAAACTACAACCCGTCTGCAGTGAACCGTTTACTACCCGGACTGTTTACAAACCGAACCGAATTAAAACCGCTCAAGAATAAACCAAAACCGAATCGAACCGATAACTATTTAAACCGAACTGGAACCGACCCACGAGACACTTAAACCGATTTCAAACCGACCCGATTTAATACCGAACCGATTTCAAACCAAACCGAACCCAAACTGTCAAACCGTTTTGTGCTAAGTTTGGTTGATCGGCTGAAACGTGGCCCAAAACGGTGTATTGGTACGCTTTTTGGTCGACTAATAATTTGTTTTTTTTTCAAAATAAAAAACCAATCTATTTTTTTTTTTGAAACCAACCAATCTATTTAACTATTAGTCTATTACTATAACAAAAATCAGCTCACATCATCCTCTCTCTCAAATGTATATGTGTTACTTTCTGATGAAAAATTTTCCAGCCAAATGCACTTATGATGTCATATATATATATTGATATCTAGAAATTGTCTTTCATTTTTATATTTTGTTACTCATGTAATTTATGATGATAGCTGCATATCTTTTATGATTTAACTTATTAGTATATACGAGAAAATAAATAATACTCCCTCCATTTTTAAATACTTGCTCCATTTCTCCATGCGGAGTTTTAGGAGAAATTGGAGAAGTAATAAACTATGGAAGTAGTGGGGTAGTTGAGAAAATAAAAAATGTAAAAAGCAAAAGTAGTTGAAGAATATGAGGAGAGAGAGTATTAGGTTGGGTCCACTAAGTATGAAAATTGAATTTAATATTGTACAAGCTTTCTAAAAAGGGAAATGGAGCAAAACATTTAAAAACGACCGGAAAAAGAAAGTGGAGCAAGTATTTAAAAACGGAGGGAATATAAATAAGCTATTTCATTTCAATAATTTTTGTAATCCATGCATCGCACGGGTCTAATCTAGTGATATAATAACATATACTTCTTTTGTTTATAATTTTAAAAAATCATTTATTGGATGTAATCTTGATTATATTTATATTAAACACTTCAAAGTTGGACCACCAATATTCACAAATACGTAGTATGTCAAATGAATAATGTAGTGACGTCTTGTTGTAATTGTTTGATTAGGTCCATTGAAGAGGAGTGCAAGTTTCCAATTGCACAAAGTAGAAATTTCAAAGGGTTTAATTTTTTTTTTTAGGAAAAAATCCTTATTATTATTTGTAGATATCCATTTGTGTCTCCCCAAAACCAAACTCGGTGATGAGTACCTTTTACGTCGAATCATAATCGAATGAAGCGAAAGTGTGGAAAGTTTAGTGTTGCGGAAAGTTTTAATTTCTTTTCTCTTTTCTCTGTTTTTGAAAACTTATTTTAAGAAAACAGCCAATCCAGTTTGGTTGGTCCATGATATGGGTCCAATAGTAGTTTAATTGGATGGGGCTTGATAAGAGGTTTCCAACGATATATTATTAGTCCAATTCCGATGAATATTGAGGAAGTTATGGCCAAATTACTAAACTGGGCCCGGTTTGAGCCTCATATACGGCCCAATGATCTAGGGGAGGGGCTAATATAGATTTATCATTCCTAATGCAATTAGGAATGATTTTAATCTTCTAGATTCTTCTAGAAGGTTCTTTTCATTCCTAATTCAATTAGCATTGATAAATTGACTTTTGTTGACTTTTCAGAGTTTTAATTAAGATCAAAGAGCATTTCTGAGGAAAAATACGATTTTATCCTCCTGTACGGCAATTTTTATCTGATTTTAAGAAAACGCGTGAATTTCTGAATCAGCGCCAAACGCTAGCTGTAGCGCCGGGGGCTACGCTTGGCGCCTGACGCTAGCATTGGCGCCTGGCGCTGATGTTGGCGTCTGGCGCCAATAGCCAGCGTTGGCGCTAATTCAATTTTATTTACGCCAGAACTCTATTTTGATATTTTATGTTTTTGGATGATTTTCTTTATGAATAACGTCGTAAAAACTCCGTTTTCATTCATCAATTTTTCATCAACAATCATCAGTTTTCACCCATAATCACTATAGACACCTAAAAATGTCTCCCCAAAACCAAACCCGATGATGAACAACCTTTCACCGCCACTATTGGTCGGGTTTAGTATTTAATCCCGAGAGTGCTTAAAAAAATCATATTTTATTAAATTCATATTTTGAACAGTCCATGGATTAGTCTTGATGTTTGGTAAAAGCATAGTTTTAATTTCAGCCCAAACTTATTAATTAATTTTAAGCCCAAACCTTTTTTATTTTATTGTTTTATAATTTCTTTTTGGCCCAAACCTTTTATTTATTTTTAATTAATTATTTTCTTATTTTAGCCCGAATAATAAAAAGTCAGAAAAGGCCCGAAATTATCAATCGGCATTTAAAATGCCGAAGGAAATTAGGGTTAAAAATGTATTTAGACGGAAAAACGGGCAGGAATTTCCCGCGCCACGGCAGGTACCTACCATGTCACGGGAATCCTTCCCGTCTGACGGTGGGATTTCCCGTGACACGGGAGGTCTGCCGTGACACGGGACATTCCGTGTCTTTTCCGCGTAAACCCTTGACGCGTTTTCTATCCCGTTTTCTGAAAATTTCCCGCGTCACGCCAAAAGTGTACCGTGTCACGGGAAAGAGCGCCGTCTGACTGTGGAGCTTCCCGTGTCACGGTACAGTCTGACCGTGTCACTGGATACTTTTTTAGGGTTTTTATCATTTTAGGGTTCCGTGTGCTCCCTCAGCACATTTTCCCTATAAATACCCCCTCATTTCTGTTGAACGGGGCACCGAGTAATTCTCTAATTTTATTTTCTCTCTTCTATGCTTTAGCCTAAACACTAGCCTACCCTTTTCACTTCAAAATTCCTTCTTCAAGCACTCAAAGGAGTCCATATTTTACTCGAGGTTCTGTCCTTAAGCCAAGGCGTGAAAGGTAGAACTGTTTGAGGGTTTGGCCCCAAAATCAACTTTATTTTATTTAATTTAATTTAATCATCGCTTTATTATTTTCTTGAAGTTACTAACTCGTTTATTATTTTGTAGTTGCAAACAAACAGAATCAAAGTAAGGATCATGCTCCTTTTATTTTTATTATTTTTCTAACGATTTTATGTTGTTGGAATTGTGATTAATTTGGTTTTAATATTAATGTTATTCTATTATTGATCACCGTATTGCATGTTTAAAAGGAATATGTAATTGAAAATCAAGCCTAATAAGATAATTTGGACAACCGGTTTAGGTTCCTTTTAATCTTGTTATTTAATTCAAGTGATCACAAATATTTTAGAATTATGTGTTGCATTAATATTCAACCAATTTAGCATAATAATAGTTTGGAGCAAATTGAATATTTTATTTTCATGCCTTTGAGATTGCAGGAATCACTTTTCACTATAAGAATCGAGTAAAGGCCAATACGGGCGAATGTGACTCCATGACTCACTTCGTACCATCATCCCCGATCTTCCTTTCGTGGTTCCGAACCATATGGAGTTAGTAATCTCATGGATTATGAATGGGGTATAACCTTCACGGGTCAATCGTTGTTTCCTATCGTTGTCCCTTATCGTGGTTGGCTTTTTATGATCCGTAAACGGTTAACAAGTTCCACAAAAAATTGTTGGCGGCTCCCTACTTTCCTTGTCCCTAATCGTATTATGTCAATTCCCACTTCCTATGAGTGCCAAGCATATTCACACATGCTTAACGTAGGTGCACTTCGAACGACGCCTACAATCACCTACAATCTATCATCTCTCTTTCTCTCTTTATTTTCTAAACTAGCTTTTTCTCAAATACAAAATTCCGCATTCGCAAGACTTAGATACACCTAGTCATATTCGAAGTTGCCTTTGCCCTAGACGTGAAAGGTTTAATTTCTGAGGGTTTGGTCCCAAATCTCTCTTTCAATTATTTAATTTAATTGTTTGTTTTATTATTTTCCTTGAAGTTACTAATGTGTGTATTTTGTTATTAGAAAGAGGTACGAGGCATCAAAGTAAGTATTTTAATGGTTTTTATTTATATTATGATGCTTAGGTTGTTGTTATGATATTCCTAGTATCATGTCTAAGGTAAATTTAATATTTATGATTGTTATGATGCCTTTTATGTTCTTCCTAATATTTATGATTGTTAGTATCATGTTAGAACTAAATATATGATTTTTATTGCTTAGTGACATGCTAGGGTTTGTTATTAATCTTGTTAGTATCATGCCTAGGATCTTGCTAATATTATGCTTTAACATGATTATTATGATTATGATTATTATGATTGTTATTATTATTATAA